GTGCATCTACTGTACTAGGGGTTAGCATATAGTTGGGAGCGAAACAGATGCAGTCCCTGACCTCATGGAGTTTACAGTTTAATGGAGAGGTGGACATTAAATCATATAACTAATATTATTGCTAGTGATAGTAAGTAATATGAAGAAATAGGACAGAGCTATGAGAGACTATAACCGACTGACCAACCCATTGTCATCAAGTCGATTCCGACTCATAGCAACCCTATAGGACAGAGTAGAACTGCCCCATAGGTTTTCCAAGGAGTGCCTGGGTGGATTCAAACTGCTGACTTTTCGGTTAGCAGCCGTAGCTCATAACCTCTACACTGCCAGGGTTTGCGAGACTATAACGGGAACTTGATTTAGATTTGATGGTCATGGAAGTTATGCGAGGAACTGAGGAAGTTACATTTAAACTGGGACCTGAAGGAAGAGTAAGAGTTATCCTGGAGGGAAATTGTTCAAGGCAGTGGGAGCAGCATGTGCAGTGACTCTGAGGCAGAAAAATACTCAATATATTTGAGAAGCCCCAAAATGGCAATTGTGACTGGAGCAAAGTTCAGAACAGGAGGTATATATAGCAGAGAGGTTTTGTTCTTAATTTTTAGTATCAGTCTATTTGAGTGGTGATGGGAACATCTGATAGAGGGAGATAGTTGAAGATGGACGAGCAGCTTTTCTTGTTTTGCCAATTACTTATTAGCTATGTGACCAACGGCAAATCACAAATTCTCTGATACTAATCTCTGTCATAGACATGTGCTCAGTAAAGGTTTGTTGATTCCTTCATTCAGTAAGTAAATTGTTCTCATTAGGAAGGAAAGTAAAAGTCTCATCCATTATATTAAAATAATTTAAGGTATTTTAATATGTATTGTTTGACATTCATATATATGTATATTCATACAGTGAAATTTTCTTGTGAATAATTATCATTTAGGAAGGAGGTGTCAGTGGTTTTCTCCATGCTTTTATTGCTGAAGTGTTTGCAATGGTGAGAGCTCATGTTGCTGCATTAGGAGGGAATGCTGTTGTCTCCTACATAATGAAGCAGTGTGTCTTCATGGAGAATCCAAATAAAAACCAGGTGAGATGCAGTTAAAATCTCTGATGGGAACCTGAGAATTTTCCCCAGGGCCCTCCCCTGCCTAGAAAAAGGAGACTTGCTCTTTGGAGCTCTTTGATTCTAGATACTTTAAACATGTTTAATGAATTTATTAATAACCGTGGTCATGCATAGCTCAGATGCTGTTTTCACATCCCAAGTGACTAATTGTTATTCTTAACTACTTTGGGAAATTACTGAGTTACTGTTTCCACTATCTTCTTTGCGGGTCTTTGGGATACAGTGATAGCTAACTGAGAAGAGATAATGATGTTGCACCCCAGACTTCACAGTCTGGCAGAGTGTAGACCATGATGCTCTTCAGTTCTAGCTGGCATGCTGGTGAAGAGTACCCCATGATGGGGCCACTGCTTGTTTATTTCTAGTAAGTAATATTCTGTTAAG